TTGATGAACTGTTTTGACGCGTAGACCGTAGCAAGTAGAACTCACAGTGGAAAATTCGTGTATTTGAATTTCAATACGTTGGTCATCTTTCATTCTTCCAAAGTTGATAGGCGACTACGCCTTCGTGGGTGGGAAAACAGCAAAGTATACACTATAATGACGATTTGCGTGTAGGTGTATTTTTCAGAACGGTCAGTCATTCTTGCCTGAATGAAACCAAATAGAAATCGGCGCCAACAAACAAGCTCCTGAATGAAGGATGTGCAAGTCACTAAGAGACTTCGAAATTCTATAGCTGACTTTACTTCTTCTGTCTGATAGGCTCAGTCGATAAAGCATGTTGGCACAGCCTCTAAAAAGTCTGTTTCTAACTCCGAAGGTGCCGGTTTCGATTATGCTCGAGGCAAACTGTTTTATTCGCGAATTCCCTTGAGCGAGAAATTTACCACACATTGCTTAGGACCAAGATTACTCAGTCGATCGGTAGGGCGTCGAATTCACAACCTGTAGGTCCTGAGTTCAAGCCTTTGTTGGGAGGTGGGGTTGGGGTCACTCACTCTTCTTCCTTCCGAGATTGAAAAATGAGTACCACTGTGCGGGAAGGAAACAGAACACTGCACGCTACGCTTGCTGCATAGCTGTAGCGTCTGCCTTTACAAAATAGGGTATTACTGATGATAGCATAGAAAAGGAGATGAGCACTGCACCATCATATTCATGAAAACACGATCACTCCTGTACGGTGCTGAATCAAGTCAAACTGTGCGACATGTGGTCTCACCTTTATGCCATAGGAAGCCAGTTTCCATATATGCTATTAGCAGTTATTGACAGTGCAATTTATTATTTTTGTTTTTGAACACATTCTAATATCTACTCTTTCAGGAAACCTTCGAGGCAATTTTTCTTTTGCATCTGAACTGATAAGTCATCTATTTCCACTTGGCGTCAACATGTCCCCGTACGCAGTTTGCGTCTTTGGCGAATTTATCGGTGACACAGATTGCAATTTTGAAGTAATAAGCTATCAGTTTTTCTCCATTTCAACACCCCTCTTTTATAGTTGCTGTTTCTACTGTTTGCCTTGAAGTCGCTGTACCCGCAGAAGGTTTTCTTGCTGAACGGCGTCAGTGACCTGTCGGATGAGCATGATTCGTATTTGAACAAGTAACTACGTATTTTTTGTATGTTCGCTTAATGTTACTATCTTATGACAGAAACCTTGCTGTACGCTTCGCAGCACGTAATCGCTGCGAGATGCACCATGCTATTAGAAAGTGTCTGGCTTGCATGCCTCTCGTGGCGACGATTGATGAAACGGTATGTTCAAAGGACTTTGTAAACGTTAATATAATATATTAAATAAAGTTATGTTGCAAAGAAAGTCTGTAATCATTTGAATGTCGGTACTCACCTTTTCATAATGGGGCCATTTCTGTCGATCTTTTTTTTTACACTATTTTTGGGTGTGACGATCTCGATTTTCAAACCATTTGCAGCTGTGCACGAGTAAACTGTATTGTCTTGTGTTTCCTTCCAACAGAATGCCTAATCTTTTGTTAAACTCGAAAAAATTAAAGTCGAGTGAAATGACTGGTGTTTGATCACTGAAGCTCTCCATTTTGAATCTAGCGTTCTACTGACAGAGCAGCCCCGTTTTTATTAAAGTGACTGTTTGTTTCAAAGCGATTTATACCACAGATTCTAAGACGAATAAGTAGGCCCACACTTTCTGATATGGTCTGACTCTGCGATATTAAGTGGAAATGTCATCCATCTTTTATGATGAAATAAACACAAATTGCGTTACGCGACCGATCTAGAACTAACGTTTACCGTGACATTTTTAATAGCTAAGTAAGCATTGGTACAGTGAAACTTCTGTCTACCAACTTTTATGTTGCACCGTTGATTTATATTGCCGGGTTTTTCATGAAAACTGACTTTTGGGGCCACAGTTTGTTGGTAATTAGTATTAGTATTAATAATTAGTACCCGTTTGGCGAAGCAAGCTTTCCATAAAATGCCACTATAAAAAAC